GCCTCAAATTCTGTTATTAACAACAAAGCAAGTCATGGGTTTCACGCTTAACATTGTCTCTGTCACTTAGAACACGGGCCAAGTATGGCATCGTTGATATCTTTTTACTAACATCTAACTAATGGGCTGAAATAACCAACCACCTGAATGGTAAACTTTTAATGTAAAAACTATATATTAGTGTACAGCTGGTGATAGGGAACTAACTGAAAAAAATTCATTTCCACGCTCAATTTTTTTGTTCTTCTATACTAAATATCGGTATATTCTAGTCCTCCGGAATGATCCTAAACATTTGACAGGGGTAAACCCTATGCTGAATACACACTAGATGAAAGGAAGAATAGAAAAAAAAATAGTCGTCTATCTACTGTTCCTCAGTAAGCTGGTAATTTCATGCCTATTCCTCTTTATTCATCGCATGAAACACGTGTGAATTTAGGTATCACTGAGTTTGTTTTCGAAATTTAAGAGAAATTCTTCTATAAATAGCTTGTTTTCCTGCCAAAGGAGATTCAAGAGAACAATTTATTTTGAAAAAAATGACCTTATGTCGATTATTTGCAATTTCTTTTAATGGGATGCGAGGTCGCCTTGTAACCAGAAGGTCCTGGGTTCGAACCCCGGTGGGTGCGAACTGATGAAGAGTCCAAAACTAGGACGAAACAGCTTTACAGTACTCCCAGCTGGTTTTCCAATGGTTCTCTAACCAATATCAGCTCATGATGAAATCCTGTAACCAATTTCTTTTAACTTTAAGCATAAACAGGAGGTTAATCGATTGCTATATACTACTTATTGATTGATGTGAGTAGTTGAATAATACTGACATCAAATAGTAGTGCCAGCTAGCCACACTTCAGGAGTCTAAATACGGCGGGGCTGTTTCGTTCGTTTGAGGTCAGGCTCATCAGCCATCTACCCATTTTGAATTAGTTCAAACCGCGCACTTTCTGGCTAGCTACTTTGGCAGGCTGATAATTCACAGGTCAAGGTAAATTTCTACGTAGGCGCCTTTGGAAACCGAAATTATTTAGATAGGAATATGTGGTCTACTTGATACCATAACTGTCAGTCAAGAAAGCAAGAATAAATGCATGATACTATCTGCTACCGATTGATTGGCATGGTTGTCGAAGGCTTATTGGCAATATGGTGACTTCGTAGCTCAGCTAGTGGATCACCAGGCTGATAATTCGGAGACCACTTGCCTGAATCCTGTCGTGTTCCAGATTCTCATTTTCCATTAAAAGTCACCATCCATTACATCAGCAATAGTCTGCTGACCTTTTGAGACTACCCCAGGTGGCCGCATCATCAAGAAATTTAAACGTTGGGGAAATAAATGTCTAACAACAGTTGTAATTCACTGACACATTGAATGTGGCATTGAATGTGGATGAGAGTGAATTATATCTGGGCGAATCTCCAGTAATTTTAAGAATTTTCTGGTATTTTTTTGACATTTGCTGAATTATTCTCTCTCTCTAATTTTTCCATGTTTATTTTATCTTTATTTTATTTTATTATGTTCCTTTTCGACAGTTTTTGTGTTGATGTAACGTTTGACAGCCTGACTCGATTCGACTTTGTGCAAGTTTAGGTATTGGTGTGTTAATCTGATGATTTATGGTTTTTGCTCGAGTTAAAGAAGAATGTGTAATAATAATATTATTTTGATTAAGAAACCCAATGACTGGATAAATTATGAACAGGTAGAAAGAACAATAAAAAAGGTTGTAATCGATATACTTACCTAAAAAGGATGGAATTAGCCACTAAGCATGAAGTTGAAAATAGATGAATACCATATTTCCCTTTGTTTTAATCATTCGCAGTCTAACTGCATTACCCATAACTTATCGGTATTTGTTAAGTCTCTAGTTTAGTGGTTCGGAGTTCGATCCTCAGCCGTTGCACTCCTAAACCTCGCTAAGTCTGTAGTAAGGTTGGTAAAGAGGCAATTTTTGTGTGATGTGAGACTAACAACTCAAGCCTATAACAATAATACTATGGATACCGGAACTTTAAAGCTCTAGATTAAAGCCCTATGTTCCACTTGGAACGTAATGGAGTAAATTACAAAATAAAATAAATAATTGGTATCCCAAGATATTTCGGAATATAGTGGATGGTATATAACACTCTAGTCATTAATGCTTAATGCGTTTATATTTTGTAGGCCACAAAAATCTACTGTGTGGTTATTCAGTCATCCAATTGCAGTATTACTATTATTATTATCATTATTGTATCCTTTAATTCCTAGGGGAACATAAGAATTCAGCTGTGTGTCTCCATTGCGTTCGGTTCTCTGCTACAGTCTTCACCTGGCTCCAAGTCTGCCCACACGTTTTCATCTCCTCTTCACATGACCTCCTCCAAGTCACCCACCCTTGCACTGACGACCAACTCGCCGCTTCCCTTCCCCTTTCGAGTTCCACTCGAGCAATGGCTTGTCTAGTGATGTCACTTGATGCATTGTTTTCTCAGAGTATGGCCAGCCAATCCATCTCCATTTCTTCCTGCATATTTGTTACACAATCGGTTCCTGCTGTGTTGGTTATTTTATTTATTTTATTTTATTTTTGGTTAAAGCTTGATTCCACACAGTACTTTTGGAAGAAGTATGGAATTTTTAGCATGGATATCGGTGGCCCAAATTTTGCAGGCCGACCATAGATATCGGGTGTGCGTCGGTAGGGGATCGAACCCCGGACCATGTGCATGGTCGGCGAGAGTCCTAACCACTGTGCCACCGACGCACCGACGCTCATTGCCAGAGATCCCTACCTGTTGCTGATCTTTTCTGGCCGGCCATTTGATCTTGAGTGGTATTGAGCGAAGACAACTGTTAATGAAGGTGTGTAGTTTGTTTGAGATGCTGTTTATGACGCGCAGTGCAAGTCTTTGATCCGTATAGTGAGTAGAACTGACTTCACATTTGAGTTGAGAATCCGGATGTTATTTTTGATTCTGAGTGCTGTTGACCTCCACACAGACTTGAGAGTAGTGAAAGCTTGTCTTGCTTTTCCGATCCTCACTGCTTTGATATCCTCGTCAGTTCCGTCCTCGTGTAGTTGAAGCGATGCTTCCCAGGTAGGTAGTTAAAAGAGGTTGTTTGTTTCAGGTTCCTCCCATTTATGCTGATTGTTGTCTGTTGTTGTTGTTTCTGTTGATGGTGTTGCCCAGGAATCTTCATCACCTCTGTTTTCTCTATGTTCACCTGAAGTCCTATCTTTGATGCTCCTTCTGCCAATTGCTTTAGTTACCACTTCTGTGTACTAACTAAATTAAAGTCTACATGTTTGATTTGTGCGAGTCTTAATGTGATTTCGAAGTGAATGTTGTCATTAACCGTCATCTGTTTGCTCAATCCATGAACAGTAAGGAGCAATCGATATACTGTTAAGAAATCTTCGTCATCCTGCTTTTCAACAGTTTTATGAAACTGATGAATTTTTGTTTTAATTCTATAAAAAAAATGTCATGACTTGTGTTGTATCCTTCAGAAATTAGAACAAATACTGAGCAGTGTCATCGGATGGTTTCGATTACATCTTACATAGACTGACGGATTCCACGAGCTGCACAGTAGTATACTGGTCTATTGATATGATTAATCGTGGATGTGACCTGTTGTTTTTGATTATGGGTATTCACTATTGAAATGTTTCTCGCTGGGATAAGAAAGCTGTTCACAGTCCTCTTTGTTTCTTCCAGTTGATCGTCTTCCAGATGGTGTTTATTGGTGATGACATTTTATTTGCAAAAGGTTTACCAGTGAAAACGAAATTTTCAAAAGAATGGACTCGGAACAAAGAGTACTCTTTTCGATAAATTCATCATCAGGTCCTACAATTATATATGCACATTATAATGAATGAATGAATTAGTCTTATGAACGACATTAATGTTGCTGTTTAAATAACATCAAATCAATAATATTGATAGATTACAGCTGAACAGCATCAACATAAAATGAGCTGAATGTCAGAAGAATTAGGAAAGATAATAGTACAAATTCATGAGTTTATAGTTTCTACTGAGGGCCGGCCAGGTCAGTAGTAGGGGCTGGACTTGTTTCTTTTGAACCCAGAGCACTGGTTGGTTGAGGCGAATAGCAATAGCCTCTGCTGTTTGGAGTATGCGGTGATTCGATGATTTTGACATTTTATTAAGCACCCGGTAGATGATAGAGAAGGATTCTTCTACGCTGGCTGGCTTTATGGCAGATTTGTACCAGATGGTCTAATATCGAGCTGTTGATAGTTTTCACTACACCTTTACTTAGCCATAGTGGGAGATGTTCTCGAGAGTGCACGAAAAATCGAGTTCTTAGAGCAACGGCCAATATAACTCGCTCCACCACAAGCGCAGTTGAATTGATAGATACAATTTGAAGTGGCTAGCTTGTCTTGGTACTTCATCTTTCAGTCGAGGTAGCACCACCGGTCGTGTAGAGAATAATACGTGTAGTTCGCCAGCATTAAAAGTTCTTTGAACTGATTTTCTTAATTTCCTCGTGATTATCTCACTTGGTATATCGCTCATGAATTGCATTCGTATATATAAAGTGGCTTCTTGTTTACAGACAGTGAGTAGTCCTTTTCCACCGCTTTCTTTGTCATATGTTTCTTGATAAATTTGTCAGGATAACCATTTTCGATCAAAGTATAATATACAATGCTTAATTCATCTTCAATTACTTCTTCTGAGCATATAGCTCTAACTCTGTGGCTAAGGGTCTTCACTAAATTTATTTTGTAATTGATAGGAACGAAGCTGTGAAAGGGTGTATATTGTCCTGTCCAAGTGCTTTTTCTATGCAAATTTCTTTTTATGCTAACGAAATTATTTATATACATATGTTTTTGGTTGGGTTACACAATCTAGACATAGAATGCGTATGGGATGAGTGATTTGATTTAAACTAGCCTAGTTATGTGCGTTATACTACGTGTTCTTCTTTTTCATCTTATCTCCTTTCAGATCTGTTAATGTCTTCCTCCACAAATCAAGCAGACAATGGTGATAACGATGATGATGATGATGTTGGTGAAAGACAACGTAAATCAGTAGTGACTGAATGCAACAGTAATGCTGTACAGGCGAGACAATTATTTTCTAATCGTATACTCACTGAAATTTATCATCGTATTAAAGCGAGACCACTACTCACCGGTGCTGATCAAACAGACACTGTCCGACGTATATCAAAAGCAATAGGAAATTTAAATCAAGTGACAATTCTACCGCATAAATCTACTACGAATAATTTTGATTTGGTTGATACACATCGTAGATTAGTGTGTTACTGTACTGTTATTCATGTATGTCAGTTGGATGATGTTTTTTTAAACAAATTTTTATTTAAAAGTTCTTTCAAGATATCATCATGAACTAATATAGGTTAGAGAACCATTGGAAAACCTGGAAGTACTGGCCAACCAGCTGTTTGTCCTAGTTTGGGACTCTTCGACAGTACACACTCACTGAGGTTCGAACCCAGGATCTTCCAGTTACAAGGCAAGCTCGTTTATCATTGGGCCACTAGGACCTCATCCAACAGTTCATGGATACCAACCTCTGCCAATTCCTAATATGGTGTGACCACTAACAAATGCCATCGGCGAGTATTTGTCCTCACACTCGACCCTATTAAGTAGGTAGTGACCCGTTTCCAGTGGCAGTTCGTGACCAGTGGGGTAATAAAGGTCGGATATAAGGACAAATACTCGCCGATGGCATTCGCTAATGGTCACACCATATTAGGATTTGGTAGAGTTTGGGATCCTTGAACTGTTGGATGGGGTCCTAGTGGCCCAATGATAAACGAGCTTGCCTTGTAAATGGAAGATCCTGAGTTCGAACCTCAGTGAGTGTGTGCACTGTCGAAGAGTCCCAAGCTAGGACGAGACAACTGGTTGGCCAGTACTTCAAGGTTTTCCAATGGTTCTTTAAACGATGTTAGTTCCCGATGAAATCCTGAAACCAATCGAATCTCTACAAACCAACATTTCAACAAAAATTGTTTGATTTTTAGTCGTTTAATCTTGATATTTACTCAAAGTATTATCATTATTGTTTCCTTTATTTCCTAGAGGAACATGGAGTTTCAGCCGTTAGTCTCCATTGCGTTCGGTTCTCTGTTAGAGTCTTCACCTGGCTCCATGTCTGCCCACTTGCTTTCATCTTCTCTTCACATGACCTCATCCAAGTCACCCACCCTCACACTGACGACCAACTCGCCACTTCCCTTTCGGGTTCTACTCGAGCAATGGCTTGTCTAGTGATGTCACTTGATGGTCTGTTTTCTCAGAGTATGGCCAGCCAATCCATCTCCATTTCTTCCTGCCTATATGCTGCACAATCGGTTCCTGCTGAGTTGGTTCGTTCATTGCCAGAGATCTGTGTTGCTGATGTTTTCTGGCCGGCCATCTGATCTTGAGTGGTATTGAGCGAAGACAACTGTTAATGAAGGTGTGTAGTTTGTTTGAGATGCTGTTTATGACGCGCAGTGCAAGTCTCTGATCCATCCGTATAGTGAGTAGCACTGACTGACTTCACATTGGAGTTGAAAATCCGGATCTTATTTTCATTTCCATGGTCAGTGCTTGAGAGTAGTGAAAGCATGTCTTGCTTTTCCGATCCTTGCTTTGATATTCTCGTCAGTTCCGTCCGCCTGTAGTTGAAACGATGCTTCCCAAAGTGGTAGGTAAAGGAGGTTGTTTCTTTCAGGTTCCTTCCATTTATGCTGATTGTTGTCTGTTGTTGTTGTTGTTGCTGTTGGTGGTGTTGGCCAGGAATCTTCATCACCTCTGTTTTCTCTATGTTCACCTGAAGTGATATCCTATCTTTGATGCTTCTTCTGCCAACTTGTTGCTTTTCGCTTGCATATCTTCCAGTTTGTTGGAAATCAGACATATATCATCAGTGAAGTCCAGATCCTCCAAGTATTTTGTGTGAGTCCATTTTATGCCTGTTTCCTCATTGCCCGTCGCTGTTTGTCGCATTATTCAATCTACTGCAATCAGGAGAATCATTGGCGATATTAGGCAGCCAGCCTGTCTTACTCCTGTTCTCACTTCGAAGGATTCCGTAGGTTTCCCTTTGTGGATTACTTTGCATTGGATTATTTTTGACCAACGTGGGCTAAAAAGTAAGTGAGATTTAGAAAATCTGCTAACTCCTACCGGGACTCTCAGGCTGGACAAACTATCTTTGTGAGGCGTGAAGTTATGATTGATGCATGCACCTACAAAACAACTTGACAATTTTTGACTGATTTATTCTTGAAGGAACTTCATGGTCGTGCAAACAATCAGTTAGTTACTGATTTTCAAATATTCCTTTGATATGTAAATGATATGTACACTCCGTATTCTCAATTTATAAAATTTTTTGTTGTTGTCGTGGTTGTCGCAGTTAAATCGGTCGTCTGTGTGTCCACCTGAGTGTGGGGAATACTTCCGAGTGATCAGTTGGCTATATAGTGTTGTATCTGAAGGTGCATTCTATTCAAAATGGATCATAACCAACTAACTCACTAACACAGCGTTATAACAGGGACCGGTTAGTCGACTATTCAATGTTACCTTACCTTGACAGCATCGTTTTCTACCACATGTGGTGGTACGAATAAGGATAAAAAAGTCAGTCAGCATCGGAAAAGCAAGACAGACCCTCATTACTTGATATCGATGTGGAGATTTAAAGGGCTTAGCATGTGGAATAAGATTCGAATTGCCAACATTAATATCAAGTCAGTGCTCTTGGCTTACGCGTCAAGGGGGGGGGCATTACCAGCAAGCTGCAGAATTTCATCAATACCTACTCTCTTTGTTCCCTACTGAAGATCAGCTAGCCAGTCAGAAGAAGTATGCAACAAAGAACTCTGTCAGGTATCAAACTAACCAAAAGCCTACTGACTAAAGAAAATCGAGGTGGATTTGAAGCATGCTAAGAAGACCGTTGAGTGATATCATGCTCCAAGTCCTCCAGTGGACCTTAAATGGGAATCAATGAGTTGGATGTCTGAGGTTAATGTGGATAAGATAGTAAGAGGAGAAAGTGAAAAAATTGTGGACACTCTTAGGGTCAGCCAAAAAGACTTCAGAGGACAGAGAAGAATGGAGATGTACTGCTGGAGCCTTTTGTTCCTCAAGCAAACCAAATGTCGAATTGTAATAATAACTGTATTGAGATCAATCAACAGAGATAATATTTGAAGACTGATTTTCTCAAAAGTATATTTTCGTGGGATTGAGTAGGAGGACTAAGATCATTTCTTATGTTATTCTGGGCTTTCTGCAAACAGAGTCGTTCGACATTAATCTAATCAGCACTGTAGGTGTGTCTAGTCGACCAGTGATACTTCTTTGGCAAGCTAGTTTTAAACTAATTTATATTTACATGGAGGATTTCCTCATGAGCTGACATCAGTTAGATGAGGCAGTAACTCATCGAAAAAGACTTTGCGGAAAGGGTCGCGCTATGTCATGAATTGACAGAAGTTAGAATTCAAGAACCATTGGATCGGGTCCCAGTGGCTCAATGATCTACGAGCTCGCCCTGTAACCGGAAGGTCCTGGGATCGAACCCCAGTGGGTGCGCACTGATGAAGAGTCCCAAACTAGGACGAAACACCTGTCCAGTACTCCCAGCTGGTTTTCCAGTGGTTCTCTAACTGGTGTCAGCTTATGATGAAATCCTCCATGCAATCAAACAAAATCCCTACAAAACCAATACTTGAAAATTTATATTTAATTTGCAGTATATTTTTCATTATACCTTTGCTGGCTTTCTCATGCCATTCATTCACATAATGTCAAGTCTACTAAGATGAAAGTGGGATTAAATTTCACGTTGGATTTTTTCAATCATTAATTGCATTGTAACACACAGACAGCTAAGTCCACAAGTGACAATGAGAGTGGCATAAAAGTCCCCATTTAATGGTATCAGATAATTAATTAGTGTTGCTCTTTCCAGCAACAGCATTCTGAAGCTGTACAACCATACAGTATAATTTTAGCACCAAATATCAGAGGTTAAAATGTTTGGATTTCTGTATATTAGCTAAAAAAGGCTTAAAGAAGTAATGTGCTCCCCAAGGAGACTGGCTGTTCACTTAGAGTTATAGATTCTTACTATTTAAGAGGCAATCGACTAAAAATGAAACAGTCCTTGAATGAGTTTTATCAGTGCATTTATTAATTCCATATAAGTGATATATGCATTCGCGGAGAAGAGCAGTAGTTTTGTATTCACACCTAATCAATACCATTACTGGAACATATATATAATTTTCAACTATCTATACATAGGCATCACCCTCTACCATAATATTTCATTACTGAATCTCTTCCACTGTCCTCCTTGTAAATTTATTTATTGCATTAAAATGTTTAATGGGTGGATCGGCAGAGAAATTTATGAGCCGATGTTGTTTATTAACACCACTATGTACTGTAGATGTGTGTGGTGACTGTATAGATTGCTACATATGTCTAAGATATCTATTATTTGCTGTTAGATGTTTGTAGACAATCGGACAGGAATTGACTCAAGTTTTGTGTTTACTGGCACCAAGGACAACATGAATTACACTGGTTACTCTCTAGTGATCACTCAATACATATCTCATGTTTAATAACCTGCTGACATAAGTTAGGAAACTACTGAAGACCCGGAGAGTACTGTAGAGCTGTTTCGTCTTAGTTTGGGACTATTCGGAAGTAGAACAGAAAGATTGAGCGAAGAAATGTTTACTTTTCAATTAGATCCTCTTCTCTGGCTCTACTCTAATATATATACCATTTTTATTACAATACACAACAATTTAACAAACAAGTGGTGATATGTTTGTTAACAATAATTAAACAGTGTCAAAATGTCAATTGGTTGATAATTAACGAAGAAAATCAATACACATTTAAAAGGTAAAAATGGTTAGAATAAATTAATTTTACAAGGATAACACGTAATTAAAGATGAAGTGGTCAAAATAAAAATAAAATAATTTGGACAATTATAATTTAATAGGGGGAGGGGGGCGACGTAGTCCTGTCTTGAAACGATGGCCACGGTAAGGAAAGTGGCTGTACAAATTTCTTCTGTACACATAGGCTTGGTTTCTTCTGGTGGATTCCGATTGCTTCAGCTGTCTGTAGAAGACGAACTCGTAGAGCAAAGTTAAGGTTAGTCGGAATGCGATAAATAATTTTAAATGCAGTATTCACATCAACCTTATGCTCAGTATCAACAAGGTGTGCTAAAATAGAAGTACGAATAGATCTTGTTTGTCCCTTGGTTAACCACGCTGGATGATGTTCAGAAATACGACGATGAAACTGTCTAATTGACATTTTGACACTGTTTAATTATTGTTAACAAACATATCACCACTTGTTTGGTAAATTGTTGTGTATTGTAAAAATGCTATATATATTAGAGTAGAGCCATAGAAGAGGATCTAATTGAAAAGTAAATATTTCTTCGCTCAATCTTTCTGTTTTCCAAATGTCTAAATGGGGATATTTTCTATATTCGGAAGTACTCGCTTATGGAACTCCTTTGGCGTCAAACCCATGTTAACATGGTCTGTTCATTATTCATCCAGCCGATCTAATGGCTCTTAAATTTCAGTTTGCATCAGTTAACGATATTTAGCTCCACCACCTGACAGTAATTTATGTTATGGCTAGATGGTTGAAGGCAGTTGACAGGAAGCCTCACACGTAGGTTTTGTGCTTGTTGTGCACTCATCATCAAGGCGTACCTGAAGTCCTGAAGCAAGGCAAGCTGTGTCTCTTCTAAGATTCAAACCCATCTGATCTAGTGAGGCAGTCAAAGACGTTGCAGTTGAGTCATTTGAACTCGCAATCGACCTTCTGTACGAGGCGAACTACCTAGCTTCTTGGCTGCCTTGGAAACTTGACTGATAGAATTCAAAAACTTCATGCAATTCTTTCCATTAATAAACTTGAAGAAAGCAAGAACAACAATTGTACCAGGATAATCATCTTTTATTATTTCGAGGATTCTTCTCAACTGGTTACAACTTGAACGATAAAAATATGAATGACATTACATTAAAGATTTGAACATACTTTTCCACGATCACAAGGAGTAATTGGTAGGAAGTAAAAGTAACATTAACCCGGAATGATTTAACTAATTAAGAGTTACAAACACTGACTATTTATAGAATAATTCAAATGAACTGTGATCAATATTTGACAGTTTATAAATATTAATAGAATAATTAGGCAATTAGGCTTGGAAACAAAAACAGAGTTGCATATATATATGTGTGTGTATAGAAACAAGGTTTAGCTAGACAGAGCATAACAAAAAAGTAGATTACGTAACGAAAGAAAATGCTTTATCTAATAGTCAATAGAAAAAAAGGAAGAGAAAAGAACAAGAAAGGGTGAGTCATGTTTAGATGAGAGAGTAGAGTTTTCAAAACAAGAAAAAGGTGACTCATACAAGTTGTATATTTTTTGTTGTCACCAGGGCAGTGCAAGATTCACCACTGTCTCTTTCTGCGTACATAGATTTGGTTTAAGTCGTCTGATAGCAATTGCTTCAGCAAAGCATAGCAAGTTAGGTTTCTTTTGCTTGTTGATTATTTTGAATGACTTCAAGTTGTCAACATTATGACTAGTGTCTAATAGATGACGCGCAATTGCACTGTTTAATACTTGTGGACCTTTCAGTCTCAGGTTCTTTGGTATGTGTTCAGAAATGCGGACAATAACCCTTCTGTCTCTGTTCTTCGGATGTATGTGCTTTGGCACTTACATGTACATTGGTAGACACAGTTGGAGGTAACATGAGGTGGGTATTTGTCCAGTTTTGATTGTCTCAAACAAATAGTTGTTTGATAAACACATACAAGCTTGGTGGCTGGATATGTTCTTTTCAGGACAGCGTTCAGTCTGCATCTTATTCTACTAGCAGTTTCATCACCTTCGAATGCAAGCTGCAAAAAGATAGGCTCTTTCTCTACAGCGCTGCTTTTAACTTTTTCAACATGACGTCTCCAATACTTGTCGATGAACTTTTGTGAGTAACCGCTGTTGCCAAGAGAAGAACTAGACGCATTGCATTAGTTATCACCTTTTTCCGGTCAAAGTAATAATTTATCTCTTATATTTATTATTTCTTCTTTTATGGTTTTACTTTCTAAGATTATACAAAACCAGCCTCCAGAGAAAGAGACCAGGGCACTGAGACACTTATTTGTATTCAATGATTTAATTATTCTTGCCAAAGATGCCTCATCCTCCTCGTCCCCCTCCACATCATCGTCAAAACACCTCGGTGGTAGAAAATCTATCTTCGACAGATCAAAACATCGACAGATATCAACTGATAATGTACTATTCAGTCGGCATAAATGCAACGATGAATTCCTTCAACCCCCACTGGATTTACTTATTAACAGTTTCGATGATAAACATCAACAGCTGAATAACTTACAGTCTAGTGCATTTATCTGTGCTCAACCTCCTGTTCATTGTTTGCCGTATACACGAAGGAGTCGATCAAAAAATGATATCAACACGCATAAGGCAGCATCTAGTCATTTCAATTCACATTCCTCTACACGTTTAACTGCTCTATATGCTATCTCACTGGTTCAATGTAAAATTCGTCCTTTTAAAACTGATGGTAAGTAGGAAGAGAAACGTATCTGTTTTAGTTGATTTTGTTTTGTCTTGTTGGTTCATCATATTGGTAAGGAATATTCAATCTCTGCTGGTATTTCGGTTTCTGGTACAGAGTTATCGACTGTGTCTGAGGATTAACCTGATGTTTTTTGGTGGATTGTGACTACGGGTGCAATTCAGGATGAGGATCTCGTCCTATTTAGGGCTTGTCAGATGGATGTGCCTACTGTCCTCACTGTGATGCTGCTGCTACTTAGACTCGAACCCAGAACCCATCGTTTCGGATGTCAAAGCAGGTAATTTCAGATGACGAGTCCCAAATGGAGTGAAATGAGCATCCCGGATCAAACTCATCGTCACTATGCATCAAATAACTGCTCACTGATGATTACCTTTCATATTAGACTGAACTGTTCGATTATCATTGACGTGTCGGCTTATATGTAGGTACGCCTCAAGTAAATAGCTGATGGCTAACATGTTTATAGGTGACTAACACAGTGGAGTGCAGAATTCCCATTTAGTCATGTTCAGAACACATTTTATCAGAGAGATATACCCGCATTCACTCAGATATATCTAAAAACTAAATGACTTAAATTGATATAAGTATAAAACCTGGGCACTGTGGTAGAGCATAACTCCATTATGGATAAGATTTTATTTTGATAATCACACAGTGTTAATACCATATAAGGAGGGGACATCTGAGACCCAACATAGGATTCCTAATAAAGCAGGAATTAGAGTGGCATTCAAACCTACAAACTCACTCAGGGACAAGCTCTGTAGGTTAAAGGACCCTGTCGGTTGACCCAGTTAGACAAAATAATATAATTTACAATATACCCTGCAATGACTGTGAGTGAGGTCAACTACATAGGTCAAACTAGTAGGTCCTGGGTAGTCAGATTGTCAGAACATAAGAATTTAGCTAAGGTAAGAATGGTTGACCCCATACGAGAAGATCAGTAATTTAGAAAAAAGCTCAGCAATTGCAATGCATGCATTAACACACAACCACACAATAGGGTGGGTGGGAGAAGGTTAAAATTCTAAAAAGTAATCTAGGTAGGTGGAGAGAGAGGTTGATTACGGAATCCTTGTTCATTGAATCTACACCCAATACATGCAACAGAAATGACTCAATGCAAATACCAGAAATATGGAAGATATTATTACCACCAGTCAAATCAGAAGAGAATAATAAATAATCTTAAAATTCTATTTCAATTCAAGCAAATCACAACATTCTAACAAGTAACTTATTATGACTATAAAAACACTCGTCGTATTTCCCATCTAATTGTAATTGATCAATAACACTCGTATTATTATTTCTGAATGTACATTATCTCATATTGAATTTTATTCCAATATCTAATCGATTCCACACATGCATATAAATGAAGGAAAGAAGTTGTGTGAGTAACTTGATATGATTATGAGTGGCAATAGTTTGTGCTCGAAACGTCATCAGTTAATATTACTGTGTAACACTGTGTGATTTATCAAAATGAAAATCTTATCCATAATGGAGTTAAATTACTTAAACTATTTTACAGGGAAATATGGTTTTCAGACATTACAGAGCAAAAATGAACACATTTATACACACAATTATGCTCCATTGTGATCTTAGGCAATACGATAAAGAGGGATCTTTTAAAAAAGGGAAGTGAAATGGATTTTTAGTTGGACTCGTGGAACTTCGTACGTGCTAATCAATTGCCTAGAACTGATGCAATACCAAAATACTAGAATTCTTCATCCGATTCCTTGCATGAAGATGAAGGTGTGATGTTGTGGTGAGAGCTGACTGCTAAAAAAGTTGGTAGACAGTAATCGACGTCAGTGTTTATGTCCTCAATATTGGTGGTGAGAAAATGAGAACAAAGGCTTTGCGTGGGCGGATACAGTTAGCATATGGATGATCTGACACAGCCACAAGAGATGCAAGGTCAACTTTGTGTGAGAAACAACCAATCAAAAGACTGTATTTTCTACTAACAATAATCTACAATAATGTACATTAAAATCTATAAATATGTGTTGATTTTCCTTAATGAACGATCTGTTGCCTGGCCCTTGTCTTCTGTTGTTACAATGTTACTTAAACCTTTCGAAAACCAGACAAAAAAGTTTACACTTGTATACTGACTTTCAATGGCTCCTCTTTAACTTGATAAACTTAATTTTATAAAAATTCAGTCAAATTGTCTTCGATGGTGGCTTTGAGAGTATCATCTTATTTGGGTTTAATTTCTCTACTGCCGATTGACTGAGATGAGTGATTGCATATCACTCACATGGACCAGTAGAGATTGTCAGTTAGCTAAATCGAAATGATCTTTACAGCCAACGGCTATTTCTCTGTTTTTTGGAGCCAAGATCATCAGCGAGGTGCCTGGTTGGACTCAGCTTAGAGAGTGAAATCAATTCAAACTTAACCGATTTCTGGTTAGCTATTCGGAGGCCCTGGTAACATCTTAATTCATATTCAAAATTTTTGCAGGTTAATTAGCCATTTTCAAATTAACACGTCGCCAGTAGGTGAGATTCTACGACAGTTTCCTTTTGGAAACCAAAATTACTCATAAAACAAAAACAAGCATACATTTGTAGACAGGACTTCAGGTGGGCATAGACAAGATGGAGGTTATGAAAATAACCAACCGACAACAACAACAACAACAGCAGCAACATCCAGCGCCAATCACCATTAACGGGAGGGATTCGAAAGAGGTCACTTCATTCACTCACTTATCTAGGGAGCATTGTCTCAACTACAGGCACATGGAACGGACGAGGATGTCAAATCGAGAATCGGAAAGGCGAGAAACACATTCATCAATCTGAAACCAATCTGGAAATCTTCGTCACTCCTCAACATCAACAACAAAATACGGATTTTCAATACAAACGTCGAGTCAGTTTTGCTGTACGGATCAGAAACTTGGCGGCGGGTCACATAGAATATTTCTAACAGCCTGTTACAGACAGACCTTTATCAACAACTAACTGTCTTCGCTGGCTCTATACTGAAGATCAGATGGCAGGAAAGAACAACAACCAACAAGAAACAGACTATGGGAACAAACAAAACAAGAACCAATCGCCCAACAAATATGCAGGAGAAAGTGGAGATGGATTGGACACTCACTGGTTGAGGAGGCCACTCCTTGGGTGGTATCGCGCGTCAGGCCAACGCTCGAGTGGAACTCGAAAGAGAAGCGGCGAGTGGGACATCAGTGCAAGGGTGACATGGAGGAGATCGTGTGAAGAGAGGTTGAAACAGTATGGAATAACATGGATGCAGGTGAAAAGTACAGCAGAAGACAGAAGCAAGTGGAGACGTGCAGTTGAAGCCTTTTGTTCCACTTGGAACCCAAGGGAGCAATAATATAATAATAAAATACATTTGTAATGCTATGTGCTTATTTGCTTTCCTGATTACTATTTTTCTGATATCCAGCAGATCATGCATATATTGTGATCTGAACTGTGATGAAGAAGTTTCGCCTACTCAAAAACTGTGTAAATTACAAACTGCCGACCAATTTGCAAATTGAGAATTTGATTTGTCTTAGTTTGTAACTCGTCTGTACTTCAGTAAGTGTTACCATTCCACTAGGCAATATTCAAGTCTAGAAGCACTAGCTTTGACGGCCACTGTGTTATTTATTTATCAGCTTACTGGCGACAAATCGTATGCGACGGTCATCAGTTATCCTCAGCTAAAAAAATATTTTGAGACTGAAAAAGTCATAAGTGGTGTGAATTGATGTCAGTAATTCCATGCTTTTTGTTAAAATGCACGAATGTCGTCAATAAGAATTACTTTCCATCATGGATAGATAACTGTGGGACCTGATGAAGTTATCGAAATAATATATTCTTTGTTCAGTATTCCCTTTTTTGACATATTTCGATTCTAGATAAAATTAACATCAACTTTGGGAAGGGTAAAATATGACATTATTGAACCTCACCTGGACAGCTTTTTTGTCATAGTTTAAGACTGTAAGGCAATACGCATCCAACGATTTTCGAGTCCATGACCCTAGTGTTACAAGGTTCACTCGTAGACCATTTAGCCTCTGGGACCTGTTCTGATGACCCATAAAATCCAACTTCTGCGAAATCGCGAAATTTAGCACAACTGTCAGCCACCCTCCTACGAAAGTAACTGTTCTCTTGCCTCACGAATGATCGAACCTGTAACCATTGAAATCCTTGTAAACCTTTATGTGGTAAAAAGTGGTTATTGTCCAATTGGTAATAGGGTTTTGAAATAATCCAAAAGATAGGTAGTTCATATGGGTGGCTTTAGTATAGTGGGTGTGCCGGTGGCACATCGGGCGAATGCTCGCTAACCACGCAGGTGGTTTGGAGTTCGATCCTCGGCCTCAGACGCACTTCTTGACCTCTCTAAATTAGTAGTTAGACTGGTAAAGAGGGAAGACTGTGCATGTGGCTAGCAACCCTATCCCGTAAAAATAAATACCACTGTGGTGAAAGATGGTCGCTAGCCAAATTGGTTGACAGTAATTGAGGTCAAAGGTCAAGGTGGACAGGCGGATACAGTTAACATATAGTTGAACTGACACAGCCACAAGATATGCAAGGTTAACTTTGCGTGAGAAACAACCAATCAACAGACTGTATTTTCTACTGACATTAACCTACAATAATGTACATCAAAATCTATAAATACGTGTTGATTTTCCGTAATAAACGTTCTGTTGCCTGGCCCTTGTCTTCTGTTGTTACACCACTTCTACCAAAACTTCAAAGCTCTAGCTTGAAGCCCTATGTTCCCCTGGGAACGTGAATAAATAAGATCGAAGTTAAACGACAGCCTCCCAGGGGTGCAAATGGTTCAGTGACCTTGAATGCGTGCTAGTCACTGGTTTAGAACGCCTGTCATAACTATGGCGCAAATATGAACCTTTTTCACCAGCTAACGAGTATATTTCACCCAGATCACATTTTTAAGTACTGTTTGCATAATGTGTTAATTACTCATTAGCATTAGGTTTAAGGTAGGTATTAGGGTGAGGGTAAGCATCAGGGTTATAATTAGGATTAGGATTAAGTTTTGGGTTACGATCATGGATAGATTTAGAGTTGGTGCTGTTTAATTTGTTTTATTATTCACATTTCGCCAGTAAGTAGTCGTCGATTCTCTTACATAGTAATACAACCGAAGGCTTTCGGGGAAGATTGCAAAACAGGAAAAGAGTGCGTACGCATCCCTTGGGAGGTTATTGTTTAAAGTTGTCAGAATAAGATAATCTATAAGAAATAATGTTGTGTGTTATGCCTTGAAATAAGTAGTTTAATTCCAGACCTTTCTTTATTCATCTAGACAGCATTTTCAGCGCTGAAATTACACCGAAGTCCACAATGAAGGTGTTATTTAAGTAGATTACTGGTGTGGTATTTCCTTTTTGAAAAAAGTGACAGGTATTAAAGAATCCAGTTTTGTACAAGTTTATGAGTGAATACAATATAGATAATTTTAATTTTTTTTTAGCCATTCCTTTCGCACATGTAATCCAATTTTTATTTTTTATTTGATAATTTTCTTTTTTGTTTTGTATTTCTAGTATATCGTTATGGCTTAGAGTTTTGGAGTTTCCCAAAAGATTATTCACCTAACAATGATCACTCAACAACGAATTCTGTTAATAACAATAATAGCAATAATAGCAATAATAATAATCAGCAACAACCTGAACAGTTAATTATTATCTCAGCTTTAGCTAAAACTGATTATCATAATCTACTGACCGACTTATTTGAAGTAATCTGTGAAGCAAATCATGTTGATATGGTATTGAACAGTTAGTTAATAATATGTGAATTCGTCGACTCCTTCTCTTTCTCTTTTATATGTGATTATATGTGATGGAAGAAGAATCCAATTGGTTTCTTTCATTTACTGTGTGTGTTTCTCTTTCCTGCCCCTTACATATTGAATTCTGCATCACCACAATCATCATCATCATTACCATCTTCTTCTACTTCTTCTGTAGATTTCATTGAATTCGCTGTATTGTCAAATCAATACACCAATGCACACACGCACACGCACACTGACACAGACACATAGAGACACATGCATTCCATATTCTTGAGTGATGATGACCCCTGCTTCACATTATTTTTTTCATTTTCATTCTACTCTTTTGTGTTCCGAGTGAGAACAACACCATACATAAGGGCTTCAAGATTTTAGCCAGAGTTCTCATTGTCATTGTACGGGGTGAGGTTGCTAGCCCCCCCCCGCGACCCACACACACACCGGATAAGTGAGATTTAGGACTATGCGTCAGTCGGGAGGGGGGGTAGGGCCCCTTGGACCGTGTGAATGTTTGGCGAGTATTCTCCCACTGAGCCACCAACCACCTACACACACTCCTGCTTTACATAGCTAATGCTATTTCAATGGCATTATATAGGTATTATTATTATTATTATCTTTCGATATGCTCCTTCTAGTGGAACTAGAACAACATATATGTGATACAAACGAGAGAACGTGTTGTTTCTTTGGTGTTTTTTTTTGGAGTCTTTATCGCCTGTTCTACATTACAACGTTTTCCAGTTATATTGACTTCAGCGAATCAGAGAAGCAGCCAATAGTGTATTTATTCATTCTTAAGATGCACAATTACACGTTGATTCGTTCCGCCCCCCTCCCCTCTCATTTCTGTAGTACAACTTTCCAATTTTTCCAGTCAATTTTCTTGTCAGTATTTATTATAATCAGAAACAGATTCTAGAATATATTTTCCCAATTAGTGGATAGATAAAAAAGCAGCATCTTCGATAGGCAGTTTCGACAAGTCAGTCGACTAGATTACGTAATACATAGGGGTTATCGTTTATTAAACTTATATTTTTCTGTTTTTCCTTCCTTTGTTATTTGTTGTTTTTTGAAAAATTAAGAAAATGTTTAAGATTTCTAAAATGTTATTCATCAAGCAGACTGACTGACTGTCTTACTCATATTCAGGTTCTCCTCATGTGCTGTGATTGAATCTCTTGTGTGTGTATTTCATTGTCTGATATATACACCTGCATTTATGTGTGTATATCAGCTGTGAGTGTGTTTCTCCTCCCCTCTGGTTCTCCCTCCTTATTAAGCTCATTCGATCCATTCACATTCACATTCTGTATGTTATTTATTTCTAGACATTTTGTATGTGTTTATGCATATTTGGTAATTTATATATACTAAATTAGATTTTTTTTAGGCAAAAGTAAGTGAAGAGAGGAGTAATTAATCTTTGAACAACACCAAATTAAGTCATCATTACATGCCTTGGAGCATCCTCTGAGATTGCGTCACAATTTCCTCTCCCTCTCTCTCCCCTTTTCCTCTTCTTCTTTTCTTCTATTTGTATGATTTTTCCATCAATTTCTATCAATTTCTTAGGACAGTTTTATACTTTCTTCAGCGTGATTAAATCATCTTGTATATTCAACTTTACAGCCGCAACCCACATTGCTCCTACTTCCCTAAGTCTATTCATCTTCACATAGCTAGAGGACATTAAATTAGGATGACAGTTGTAAGATAGGCTGATCACTTTTTCTCTTTAGAAAGAGAGACAAATTTCTTGAAAAAGAAAACTTACAATTATATCAAATAAATGTATATTGTTCTAATTTTTTTTGTTTTGTTGGAAAAACTTATTTTCTTTCAGTAATGTGTAAAGACTGTTTATTTGTCGATCAGTTTTTTTGATTTACTCGTTCATTGGTTACTGACGCGTCGCCATTTCATAGTATGGACGTCTCGATGATATCTACGGATTAACATGAAGTTATTTTGGTGGATGCTGAGTGAGTGAGTAGAATCTAGGACGCATATTTCATCCTATTTGGTCTATGAGTTCACTTTGTCACCGGAAATTCCTGAGTTTGAACCCAGGTGCGTGAATGGAGCTGAAGAGTTCCAAACAGGGACGAAACGGCTATCTAGTACTTTCTGGTTTTCTGATGGTACTCTAATGATGTCAACTCGTGATCGAACCCGCAAGCAGTTGAATTACTGCTAAGAAATTGATGACCAAGAAAACATTAGGAGTTTTAATTATTTCATTAGATTAACTGAAGCCTGTAGCAAACTTATTTTGTACGCAAAGACGATGATTGTTTTCTTGAGTAATCATAGCTTCGGTTATGTGTGTATGAAACGAGTTAGAATTCTGTTCGAAAGGTCCAATGGAATGCAGTAGATAAGAAATTTTAAAATACTTTAATATGGTAACATCTGACAAGAAGAACCAGTCAACAGTATAATTTTCTTAACTTATAAAACACAAAATAATTGAGCAAAGAATATTCTTTCCGATAAATTCCTCTTCCAGGCTCTATAATTATATATGCATGTTTATATACACAGAATATTTCAAATTAGTAGTTAATAACAATATTAGCGTTTTTTTTAATAAAATCGATTTGTAAAGTATGATCAATGCTATTGCAGTTCATTAAAGATGCTTAAATAATAATAATAATAATAAAGATATAACAGCGAATAGAATATCAACTAAAATTAGGTAAATTCCACAAAAATTCCGGATTATTCAAACCTGGATGGCCAAGGTAATGATAATGTCTGAACTAACTTCGTTTGGATGCATAAATTAGGTTTGTTAATATGAATCCACACAGCCTCAGCAATATGTAGTAGTCGAACTCTTAAGGCAAAATTGAGATTCGTAGGTATGCGGTAAATGACCCTGAAAGCATGATTAACGTCAATCTTGTGTTCCGTCTCCACAAGATGAGACAGAATAGCATTGCGAATAGATTTTCTTTGTCCTTTGCTTAACCAACCAGGCAGAATGATGTTCGGAAATTCGACGAGAAACACGCCTCGTTGTACGGCCTATGCAAGTAATTGGCTGACTCCACAGGAGCAGTTAAATTGGTAGAAACCCATGGAAGAGGCGAAATGAGGTAGTCAGTTAATCTTTTATTCCCGAACGCAGAAGAGGAGCGATCTTAAAGATTTTATGGTCGCTCATAGTGATAAATAGTAGGCTTATCGACATTCCTAAAGCTAGATTTATTGAATGAACTTGGCTACCTTCAGGAATGAAAATACCTACTGAGTTTTTTTTATTTCAAATTACAAGTCACCTATTGGAGATGCAGACACATCTTTCTGAAGAATCCTAAATACGACGAAAAGCACCTGTTGAGTTTCACTGCTATTAACGAGCATTAAACAAACAACGCAATCCAGATATTTATTGCCTGATAATTTTTAAACGAGTAAGAAATCTAAATCCGGAAGACATTCTTGCCTATCGATTTCATCCTACGTTTCGTTTAGGGAGGAACTAGCATCATAAATGAGCATAGACAATATGAGTTCAGTACATTGTGTGTGTATATACCAATTTAACTGCTCCTGTGGAGCCAGTTACATAGGCCGTACAATTAGGCGTGTTTCTCGTCGAATTTCCGAACATCACCCTGCCTGGTTAAGCAAAGGTCAAACAAAATCTATTCGAAGCGCTATTCTGGCGCATCTTGTGGAGACAGAACACAAGATTGACGTTAATCATGCTTTCAGGGTCATTTACCGCATACCTACAAATCTCAATTTCGCTTTAAGAGTTCGACTTCTAAATATTGCTGAGGCTGTGGGGATTCATATTAATAAGCCTAATTTATGCACCCAGAAGAAGTTATTTCAGACATTATCCTAACCACTTGGCCATCCAGGTTTGAATAATCCAGAATTTTTGTGAAATTTCCCTAATTTTAGTTGATATTCTATCCGCTGTTATATCTTTATTATTATTATAATTTAAGCATCTTTAATGAACGGCAATAGCATTGATCATACTTTACAAATTGATATTATTTAAAAAACGCTAATATTGTTATTAACTACTAATTTAAAATATTCTGTGTATAAAAACATATATATAATTGTAGAGCCTGGAAGAGGAATTTATCGAAAAGAATATTCTTTGCTCGATTATTTTGTTTTTATAGATGTCTGAATGAACATTTTTGCAACATTGTGATAGTATTTAATTCAATATCAATTTGTATAAAAGACTAAAAACACCCATTGAGTGATGAAGGAAACTAAAGACGATTCAGCTAAAAGAATTCTCTCTATCAATAAGATCATCTTCAGAGGCTGTACAATTATATTTATCTTCAAGAGTTCATGTCTAGGCAAAAGAAAGTATAGTAGTCCATTGTTGATTATTATGGGGGTTACATAACTCATATAATTGCTCAGAAGTAGCTTCTAAAGTAAAATTTAAAAAATGTTTAGAAATATTATGCAATAGTCAGTGACTTAATAGAAGATAGGATTTGAGATTCGATAAGATTGAAATTGTTATTTGTATGAGAAGTAAGGTGGTTTAGTGTCAACCTGACAAGTCTGAAGAGGGTGAGAAAATGTATAAAATAAATATACAAGAATGGTAATAGTGAATTAATTAGTAAAAACAGAAATAAAAGCGATTGATTAGGAGCGAGATTAAGATCACAGTAGAATGAGAGACTGGACAAACTCTTTCCGTGCACAGAGCTTTAGGTTATATTGATGACTCACCAGTACCTTCACCAACCATGATTACTGAAACCTTACACACATGGTACCACTCAGTCTCACCATGTGGATAATCTTAAAAATGACTTTTGTTTAGCCTGAGTTTATCAAGTGCTGAAGAAGCGAGCTAGTAATTGTCTCACAATGTCCTCTTGCTTACCATGCCGGGCAAATATATACAACCTAACAGAAGCAAATGAATTTACAGACGCACACTGAAGTGGTCCAAAGCAGCAAACTGTCCTTCAGAA